TGGTACATGGCGGCAGGATTCGAACCCAAGACCTGTAGATTACAAGTCAAGTGCTTAAACCACTGAGCCACCGACGCTCTTAATACATATAAACCAATATACATATAAACCAATTTTAATCGAAATCCGTTCAGCCGTTTAGACAACAAACTCTAACAAACATCCATCCATCCATCTAAACTTTCGCATTAATTATTTAATATATCGGTGGCAGTTTTTATTCCTAGAGATTGATTTGAAATAGTATTAAGTTTGCGACTATTATGGTTGGAGAACAAAAAATTCCCGTAATTAAAAGGTATTATGTTATTGTAGTTGCATTATAGTAGCTCAAAGTATTACTATTAGAATTTAATTTGTAACTGAACATAGTTTAGTGCCCATCATTGTCCTCAATGACGTCACAAGTCACAATACAATGTTACAACTCACATAAACAAACATCACGTCTAATGTCAATAAACTAGGGGTTCATGTGGTCGCAACATTGTACGTTTATATTCAATTTTAATTAATCAATAAGTATGTGTAATATGGAATATCTGACTTGAAGGACCAATTTTCGAAAATTGTATACTTTGACACTTGCGTATTATAAAAAAGATCACTAAAGTAAGGCAAACTTATAAAATAAAATTAAAGAGAGTTACTTGCAAGAGAGAATTTAAAAACAGACATTTTATTTAACTATGAACGTTACAGTTTAAATTGTTTAACGAATCTTAATGAAATTTGGAGTAGAAGTAGAGTATAAGTCTGGACCAACACATAGGTTACTTACTTTACTTTTAATTTCACCCGAACGGAGTCGTAGGCGAAAGCTACATAACATCATGGAGAGGAGCTTATTCAAAGCTTGGAATTAAAAGTTGCAGCAATTCAATACAGATCAAGCATATTTCAGTTGTTTAATGTACCGTGAGAGAAAGTTGTGCTATGTTGGGAACATTGATGGCTCATAATTCTCAATAGAAAATTGAATATAAATAGAAAAATGTATTTTATGACTTCTTTATGCTGTAACTTGAAATGGGACTTAAGTTATAGACGTCGAAGTTGTCAGAAAAACAGGCAAACTGTCTGCAGTCATTTTAACATATGACTTCCAGTAATTGAAAATAAAAGCGGTATCTATTCCTTTGAATTTTATAAAGGGAATACTTTATTTGTGTTTCCACTGTACAAAGACATGGATAAAGACACAGACAGCAGTATCCTTTATTATAATTTAAGATGGGATTTCACTGTTATGCAAATTTACTGTTACAATAATACAGTATTTCGTTATTCAAACTCTAGTTCAGAATGTCCTATATTTAATTAACATACGTAAAAAATCTGAGTACAACAATGGTAGAGAATTTAAATTGATTACTACCATTGGTTAAAAAATCTCAGAGCTATGTATGATACAAAAATGAGCGAATGTGACGTAGAACGAATCGGCTAGAATCATATTTAACGTGCAAATTTTTGTATTATCTTTAATTTACCTAACCTTCAAAGATTGCGATCATTTTCATCTTAAACACACAATCTGTTTATTCACCAATGTAAGCGTAGCTACATTGTAACTGGTTCTAAATTCACTTTTATACACTACAAATAATTTACTTTAATATTTACTAAACAACTTTGCATTGATGAGGAAAAATCCGTCACCTAATTGCGAGATGTGCAGAAAGCCAGAAGATATCCAACACTTGCTGTTGGAGTGTGAGAGAAACAGACGGGAGCACGAGCAACTCTTCCGGGAACTAAAGCTCAACCCGTCCGATGTAGGCATAATTATGTCAATATTGGCTGAGCCAGCATCTGAAGCGGCTGTACGATTATGCCAGCTCGTTTCTTAGGATCTACTAGCAGCACTAAGGGATTGACATGTCTTTCCCAAGACAAAAATCCCCCTTTACCTAACTAAGATTAAAAGAAAAAACTTTGCATGACATGCATGAAATTTCGTCATTCGAAGATTTATAGATTTAAGATGAAACTTACCTAATGTAAGTAAAAAAATCAGTATTTACTACATATAATAGTAGCTCATAATTTCCAAATAAACATACACATTTACATAAAAATATGATAAAAAAGAAAATTTACTACGTAGCTTCATTATTTATACTTCATTTTTTTGGGTACTTTAATAATTGGACAATTTAAAACTTTCTCTAATGATACGTAATCGTCTTAAATATAAAGTCTTATAAGATTTAGATATGCCTTATGTTGAGATAAGTGAATAAAGTACGTAATATGATGCGGCAATTAAAAGCAAACTAATTATACGAAATGCTACTGATCAAATAATGATAATCCATAAAAAAAGAAAAAAAAATACTTACAACGAGTTTCAGTTCCCTAAAAGAGATATCAATGTGACGAATAAGATCGAAAGAAATCTGTAAGATTAATCAATAAGGATTGATGTCATTTTAAAGAAAGTCTTTTTTTTATAATACGAGGTGGCAAACGAGCTAGCGGCCACCTGAATCCACCGAAATGGATAGCGACCGCTTCCCATAGACATCCGCAATTGCAGATCCGTTGTCTACCCTTAATTGATGGAGGAGAAGACGCAAATAAAGAGGATATTTCCCCTCCCAATGCGCCTTCTCCACTGTCAATTCAAATTTTCCTTCCCATACTTTCCTCTGACGAAAAGGGTGGAAAGAGAAAGGGACTAAAATTAGGCCTCCGGCATCACACCCATCAGACGAAACGCGGAATTGCTTCCACTTCACGCCTGTCTTCTGTGTTGTTAAAGTGGACTCTACCACTGTTAAAGCGGTAAGCAGTATACAAAATCTGAAGAAACTCAAAGGGGATTTAAAGCTTTGGTATATATTAATATGCGAAGCAAAAAGTTTGAACCCTTTTTGAAGTAATTTGAGCTATTGTTAAATTTAACACAGTTAAAATTAATACGTGGAAGGGCAAAAGCAGAAAAGACCATCAGTTTCACCAGACTCAGAATATGTTAAATTATTAGATTCCTGTCATCATCATCATCATCAGCCTTTGACGCAGTCGTTTCCCAATGTCTTCCACAGAATGCGGTTCTCCGCCTACTGCAGGGGTGCCGAACCACTGGCACGCGCGATAAATGGTACACGACATAATGTTTTGGGCACGTCGATAATCATAAAAACCACTAAAATTGCGAAGTAGTTGTACCATGTAAATGACGTAATAATCGCCAGTCAAAATTATTCATTGGCACGTCTAAGACCGCACCGGATTTTTTTTTAAATGGCACGTTAATGCATAAATATTTGCCACCCCTGGCCTTTTTTTACTGCATACATCCTGAAGATTTTACTATCATTATTAAGTATTTTACTATAATTATACATTTTCGCAAAATCTAATTTAAGCCTAATAATCACTGTTTACTTCCTATCTGGCTGGGAATAATTTTTATTTGTATTAGTTCTACGTAGTTATCTTATCTACCGTTTCTGTTTCATAAACATTGTTGGCTTCCAGTTGTGCATGTGAATCCATTTAAGAGTTCGCAATATGCTTCTGATATTTTTATTTCATTTAAATTATTCGGCAGTTGAATGATATCCTTAGAATTAGTTTCCATTGGTAATAGTTATTTTTTAAATATTTGTTTCTAATTGTTCTTGTAAATAGTGAAAATACTAGTTACATTAAAATAGTTTTTTGTTGCAGAATAATGTTCAAATTCGAGCACGGAGATAAAACAAGTCTTGACGAAAGTAATGATGTAAAGGAGAGAGCTACTCTTGTCCCTGGAGTGTATCGGCCAATAAGCAGTAAGTATTCTTTTAAACATGTAATTTTTGTTGGAAGAAAATAAATTGAACTGTGTAAATCTTTGCAGGGTCACTCAGTTATAATCAGAAAAATCTACGACATGAAAGAGCTGTTCTCAAAACTGGAGAGATCAACGTATATCGCAAGCAAGATTCAAACTTTTTCTCAAACTGCTTCCTTATTCTTGTCGAAGCAAGATGGAGATGGACTCTACTGTCATTCTTCTTAGCTTTCACCACAAATTGGCTACTATTTGGTGGAATATACTGGTGCATTTCTTACTCGCATGGAGATTTTCTCGAAGCGAATTTACCACAGAACGTAAACAGTACAGAATTTACACCGTGCATTGAAAACATTTATGGTTTCACATCGACATTTTTGTTCAGTGTTGAAATTCACACAACTGTTGCGTACGGCCGGAGAGCCATCACATTAGAGTGTCCGCAGACAATCACCGCAATGTGCTTACAATGCATCGTTAGCAACGCATTCCAGTCCGTTATGATCGGTATACTGTTTGCTAAATTGACGAGACCACGAGCTAGGACACGGACAATCCTATTCAGCAAATACTCAGCGATAACATTACGGGATGGACAACTTTGTCTTATATTTAGAGTTGGTGATATTAGGAAATCTAGAATACTTAATATTAAGCCAACTGCATATCTTTTAAAATGGGATACGGATAGTGATAACCTATTAAACGCGGAGCAGATAGAACTGAAAGTTGAGACAGTGGAGTGTGAACCTGTGTTCTTCTTGTGGCCGGTGCATGTCGTTCATGTAATAGATGAACATAGCCCATTCTACAATATGTCAGCTGCAGACTTACTTTGTTGTAAAGTGGAAATATTAGCCGTGTTTGAAGGTATTATAGAATCAACAGGACAACCGATACAAGCAAGAGCAAGTTTTACGGAAAGTGATATTTTCTGGGGACATAATTTCGTACCTATGGTATTTTTCAATGACGATAAATGTAAATATAATGTTGATTTTTCTAAGTTATCTGTTCTGGAGCAAGTTGAAACCCCGCTGTGTTCAGCCAATGAATATAACTCTATAGTGACCGCCCTCTCGTCAACGTTGAGTATCGCTTCCAAGAACAGTTGAGCAAGCTATTTAAGAGTAGTTAATAAAGTGAGCGCGTTGTATTTGATTACTTTTTAGTCTGCTTGTTTATTTATATTTAATACGATGTTACCATATTTTTAATAACATTAATACCATGTTTATTGTGTATTGTAATTTTCATATTATTTTTCTTAAAATTATTTCTTACACAGTGGTAGTGCCCGCTTTAACATCTTAGCACGAATGGGCCGGCACGCCCGGTGTAATACCACGACCACACAGAAGACAGGCGTGAAATGGAAGCAATTCCGTGTTTCGTCTGATGTGAGTGTAGTGCCGGAGGCCTAATTTAAGTCCCTTTCCCTTTACCACCCTTTTCTTATAGAGGTTGGGAAGAGGAAGTGGATTTGACGGTGGAGGCGATGCATAGGAAGGGGAAATATCCTCTTTATGTGCGTTTCCTCCTCCGTCGGATAAGGGTAGGCAACGCATCTGCAATTGCGGATGTCTATGGGCAGCGGTTGCTTCGCCATTTTGGCGATTTCAGGTGGCCGCTTGATCGTTTGCCACCTTATGTTATAAAAAAAAATACACTACATTGGGCTTCTACCATATACTTTGCTTACGTTCCAGTTCTTTATTTGTGCATTTACTATCATCTAGAAGGACCTTACATCATTAATAGATTTTAATAACGTTCAAGAAGATAAATTATTCTAAAATTGTGAAAATTTAAAGGTAAATTTTACTGTTATAAAGTTATTACGCTTTTTGCTGGATGTAAATTAAAAAATTCATACAATTTTCTAATACTCATTAGCGAGACATTTAACGGGTCACGCCACACAAATATTATGCCCCCGATGTTTGCGGACTTAAGTTCCAGTTTGCGTGAAAAGACTGAAGTCGTGTTTGTTTTGTTTATCGTCGAATCTTTTCAATGTTCAGAAGTTTTCAACTGGGTTACATTATAATTAGCACGGTTTTTTAAAGGCGGAACAATTCAATCAAGAAAAGATAATGAAAATTTGCCAAATGTTTTGTATAACGTTAAATAGTGTAAGCAGCAACATCTGTTATTATGCCAACTCGTCCAGTGCAATACCACGACCATACAGAAGACAAGCTTCAAATGGAAGTAATTCTGAATTTCATCTGAGAAGTATGCGTGCTGGAGGTATAATTTTAGATGATTTTTCCTTGCTACTCTTTTCTCATAATAGAAAAAGGGGGAAGAGTAGTGGAAATGATGGAAAATGAAGCGCGTAGTAAGGATAAGTATATATTTATTTATGAACCCACTCCTTAAGGCAACGCATCCGCAATTTCACATGTCTAAAGGCAGCGGTTACTACAGTATTTCAGTGAATTCACATGTTTGCTTGCTCGTTTCTTACCCAAAGATAGATTTTATGTCACATTTTATGTAAATTATAGACTAGGTTTAAGCTTAAAACTATTCAAAGTGTGATAACAAACGCTACCATTTTCTTCTAACTTCCCGTACATTTTAGATTTATAACATGATTTATGTAACTTTAATGCGCACAGTTGTTTGAGAAAAGTTTTAACTATACCTATGAAGTTTAAAAGCGCATTCTAAGCTTTGGTTGGATGCTTTTGTTAAAATATTTTTAACCGAATGCCAGTTACAAAGATCTACAAACACTTACAGAGATATAATTTCCTATAAAAGTACTATCTACTTGTAATACTAAACCGATATTATAATTTTATACTTAACTTATCTTTTGTTTTAATATGCCATAATTGTTAATTAAAAGAAAAAACTGTCAATGCGATAACTTAATAATTACGTGGAACAATTTATGGTATGAAAATATTTCGTAAGAGGGCGCTTGTTCTATTAAATATCTTTAAACAGTCTATTTACGATGAATTACATAAAAGCTAGCAAGTTAAATATAAGATTTTACTTATATCGTAGCGAAGGTAAAACTTTAGATGTCTAACATCCCGACACAATGTATTAAAGTTAAGATATAACTTGAAGGCTGCAGGGCTAACTGTACCGGAAGTTGTTAAACACCGGATGCACTTAAGTCGCAACTTGCTCGCCATTACTGCTGGTCATGAACCAGTTTACAGATTTTACATTATAAATGTATAAGTTAAACGTGTTTTGTCACCTCTATACTGTTAGTAATAAACACACTAACGTTTTCGTTATTATTTCATTACTAGCTTTCGCCCGCGACTCCGTCCACGTAGAATAATAAAAAAAAACAAAATTGAATAGCCTATGTGTTCTTTAATACTATCCTCGACATCTATGGCAAATTTCATCGAAATTCTATCAGCAGTTTAGGATACAATTAGTATAATAGTATGACTATGATAAAGAGTATAAATAAATAGAATAAGAAATAAGAAACGAGTAGTAACTACATATGAACTATTAATTGGAAAAATATTTATTACATCTACATTAAATTTAAAAGAATAAAAGCAAGTAGCCTATGTGTTCTTCAATACTCTACATCTGCAAATTTCATCGAGATTCGTTCAGTAGTTTAGGCGACAAACTCTACTAACCATCCATCTATAAAATTTCGCATTAATAACATTAGTAAGAAATAAGATAATTTGATGTAGACTTTTCGATAGTCCAGGGAAATATGACGTCATAGCTTTAGTATTTCAGCAGCCGCGACGTCTCTATATTATTTATGTCATGCTTAACGACACATCTATTTTCGGTTATGATTTACATAATCTATAAGGAGTTATAATGTATCATGCAAATGTAAAGCTTTTCGCTTAAAATAGGAAATGTTATGATCAGTTATTTCTTTTGACAGTATTTTGTCGTAAAATTTATTATCAAAACAAATGAAGACTTTTGATAAATAACAAATAAATGTTATTCGAGAATAAGTATTATTTCGTATGGACTATTGGATACGTTTTGGCAGCGATCCAAGACCGGACTCTAGGCTTTAAAAAACAACTATACAGTTTTCATTTAAATTTCTAATGTGTCAGCGAAATTAAACCTTTAATAATAAGATTTAAATGTTACCACTGGGTCTTAGTTAGTAGATAACTTATTTCTCACCAATACTGGTTTGGTTTTAAATAAAAATAAAATAGTCTGTGTGAATTAAACTAGATGGCGCTAATATCATTTTAAAACGCGATACTGAATTTTTATTCTATCACACATTACTAATGTGATAGTTATTGTTGCTGGGAAACTATTAATAATTGACCATGGTAAGATATGACTTCGTAAAATTCGTTTATCATAACAAGACAGGAAGAACTTCTTATGTAATCATTCATACATTTAACGCCTGAGTCGGTTCAGTTCGCGTCTATATATCAGTGAGACCGCAGAGCGACCCGGCCATTATTTATAGCTTATGCAGCGAGGGGCGGAGTACCCCATATGACAAACAATTTCGAAATATTTTAAAAATTATAATTATTAAATTATTTTATTGATGTTACGATGGACTTTATGAAGTAACTATTAATAAAATAAGTGATTAATGATATCAATATTAGAAATCTTCAAATTGATATTTTGCTCATAATTACCAATAGATGGCGTTTTAGTAAAAAAAATTACCAACAAAACATAGTACGAGATTTCAAATGGAAACAAAAGAAAGGTAAATTTTTTACCTTAAAGACCTTAGCAATACCGATGAAATAATTAGTAAAAATTTCTTACTCCTGATGTTTAAATGTTTACGTTTTTAATAATGCTCCAACTAATCGAAATAATTTCAAGAACATACAACGAGCTTTGTTAGGGTTTTCTTCGCTAAACGATAACATAACAATCTCGTAAAACCTTTCTGTATACAAAAGTTTTCTTGTTAACGTACTCGTAACTTTGTATCAAAAGGTTTACACAAACTTCATGCAATAAACTGAAGAGCCGTAGTTTATAGACGTATAAGTTGATATGAATACGAGAACGAACTAAGATATCCTATTATCTAGAGGTTTCCAAACTTTTTTCTTCGTAGACTTAAAGTCGTACGGTTTCGGCACTCTACAGGATGGTTCTGATAACCTTAAATTACTCAAATTTTTTTTTTTTATTTCTAATTGTATTCTGGCGGTTCAGACTAGCGCATATTAAAGCTATGTTATAACGTATTTTTGTATGAATTTAATTACCGTAAAAAGTACTCGACCAATTTAAAAAAATAGTCTTATAGTAATATAGGCTATTTTGTTTTAATATTTTTTTTTAATTTCACTCGTACAAAGTCACGAGTAATAGCTAGTAGCAAGTATTATATAAATACTAGGTGTTGCTTGCAATTCGTCCGCGTGAAATTAAAAAAAAGCCTATGTTACACACTGATTACGTAAGTTTTTAATGGTGTAAGAATTTTTAAAATCAACCCAGTAGTTTTCGAGTTACATCAACACATACAAAAACACAAATCTACTAAACTCGAAGGTCATTTGATACAATATTTTACAACAAATGTTATCTTAACTTCAAATTTTAGAAGTATAATTAATCATGCATTGTTATATTGAAAGATTCATAGTATTTGCGACAAAGTTTTCGAGCTTTAAGCTTACACACAATGAAGTTCTGACGAAGTTCTAAAGATAAAGCTTCTTCAATTAATTGCAAAAACTTTACTCATGATTATGTTCCTTGCAGACATCAAATTAATTTTCATAAAACGTTTCCCTAACAGTATATGGTAAGTGTATGTTAAGTTCATAACGTGTGTATTCTAGATTTCTTTTAAGAGCGTGCGCACATCTGAAACTAAACTATCGCACAACTTTTTAGTCTCGCTTTGATTCCTATGAGCTTATATTGAGATGCACACACTACTAGATTTT